TGGTGAGAGAACTTCTGTGATGAAGACACCCTTCTGGGGCAAGACTTGCACTGGGTCTGCCCCCTGAGTGTGTCGCTTATGGATCTGAGGAGTTGTAATCCAGATGGTCCCCCTCTGACAACTGGGTACACTGGCTCTTAGATCTAAGGAGGTGCTAATTTAGCCTCTGCCTGAGGTTACCTGGCAGGAGCTATGAAGAGAACTGCAGATTCCCCTTCATTTTTTGGAGTTTGGAGGTGCCCTGATGAGGCCCAGCTGTGAAGCAATGCAAGTTGCTGTGGGGCCTTGGGCCTTCTCTTGGAAGGTCTGGATCTGTCTTGCCCAGCTGCAATTTGTTAGGTAATTTTCAGGTTGCAAAGGGCCGGGCATTCATATGCAAAAGCCTCTGCTGCAGTGTGGGTGGGCCGGGGTCTCAGGGAATCAAAGGGTGGAGCAAGCAGCTATGGCTGGTCCTCAACCCTGCCCTAATGGGCTGCGTGTCTCAGTGTCCCCATAATTGCTGCAAGCACCTCTGAGGGAAAGCCGCCCTCAAGTTCAGAGTTCTGCCTGCTGCCAGACAGTCCAGTTTCTCCCTGTAAGAGTCCTGGGTCCCCAGAGACTTCCCGGAACCAAAGTTCAGAGCAGTCGGGAGCTTGTGACTCCCTCCCGATTCAAAAAGACAGCCGCGTCCTCAGGTACTAGCCCCTTTCTGTGCAAGCAAGCGCGCGAGCCTCCGTACCTCTGCACTTTACTTCCGCAGCTCCTCTGGGTCTGTATGCTTTTCTTTCCTTCTAGTTGTAGAATTTCCCCTCAGCCAGACTTCCTGTAGTTCTGGGTGATGTCTGTTTTGTCTTTTCATTGTATTTTTGAAGTTGTTGTGGGAGGCAGCAATTTCCCGGTGTTTACCTATGCCACCATCTTAGTTTCTCCTCCCGTGTATAGTATTTTTGAGTGACTCTCTTGCTAATGTTTTCAGTGCTTGGCTAGATATTACACTATCTACACATGAGCTCACTGGGGGTTTCATTTTACCAGTTTGAGTGGCATATGCTGGTAGGATGCGTACCTCCCTCGAGGATGACTCCCTACTATTTGTTACAGTTGTTTTAATTATTTCCTCAGCATATTTTTGGAAGCACATCAGACAGTATTATTGCATTTGCTTCCACTGCCAAACAAAGTCTAGGAAACTCAAGGGAAACTGAACCGATTGCATTTCCTTTGTCTCCTGTGATCGCCTTTCCTTCTGAACACCCCCGGTTGCTTCTCCTCTCTCTGCTTAGACCTCTGCTCAGCGTTCTTGCGGGGTGAGTCTGCTGGTGAAAAACAGAACTCTCATCCCCCCTCTGAGACCATCTTGATTTGCTGTCATTCCTGAAAGACGTTTTCACCGGGTACCTGGATTGGCAGGTTCCCAGGGTTCTGGTGGGCAGCTCTTTCCTCAGCCTGGGGAACGTGCCGTAGGTTTTCCCACGACCTCTGAGGTTCTGATGAGAAGTCCTGTGTCATTGGAACCCTTCTCCAGTAGGAAGGTGCTGTGTTTCTCTGGATGCTGTAATTGTTTTACTTTGTGTTTAGTTGGCAGTAGGAGGGGATTTGGGTGTTTCCTTTTGGTGTGTCAGCTTCTGTAATCTTTGGGTTTCTATCTCTTGCCCAAATGAAAAGGGTTCACCACCCCTTTTTTGAGTGTCTTCACCCTGTGAGTGTCCCCTTCTCCTCTCCATCTGGGACTCTGGCGGCAGGAACTGGGGCCTTTGGCTGTAGCCCCACGGTTTCCCTGGTCCATGTTCTCCCTTTGTAGGAACGGGGTGGTTTCTGTGTCTTCGTCTTGCAGCTCACAGACCCCCACTCCCCGTCACACCACCCTCCAATCACAGGCACCTGCTCAGCTGTTCATTTTCCCATTACAACATCTGCATTTGGTTCTTATTTCATTTATGTTTCTTTGCTGGGCTTCCTGTTCACTTAGTCTCAGGTGCGCTGGTGCCTGTGCACGGATGGAAGCGTTTCTGTCCACTGCTTCGCCGTCCTGGCTGGGCCCTGCTCGCGTCTCCATCATCTCAGGTGGGTATCCATGGGGCCTTTTTCATTCCGTTTGAGATCTCTCTGGTTCTCAGGATGACTGGTTTTCGGTTGAAACCTTGGCACTTCTGTATTCCATCACGAGACCCTGGATCTCAGTGAACCTGGTTTAACTGGCCTTTCCTGGCACCGCTCTGCTGGGTCGGGTTCCCCACCTGCTGACACCCGAGAGCAGCTCTTGTCTGTCCTGCTGGGCAGGGGCGCATGGGTTTCAGCTCCCCACGTGGTCCCCAGTGATGGTGGGCAGTTCCCACCTGGCAGGGTCCCCGGAGGTGGGGGCTTCTTTCCAGCCTGTGGGGAATGGCACCCAAAGGCCCTTGGCCGTGGTGGGCGGGTGCTGTGGTCTGCGCTTTGTGGTGTGGGCGGGAGTGGAGCTGTTTGTGTAACATGTGCTCAGTTGCTCCTTCCTGCCCTCTGGCCGGGGGAGGGATGCGCTAGAGTTGGGTCCTGCGCCCGCTGTGTTCCTAAGGGATGGGCGCTGAGCCAGACAACCCCACACATTTCCTTCCTGGGTCCAAGGTCCTGAGTCCTCGGGCTTCTCTCCACCCTCACAGCCTCAGCCGGAAGACGCTCTAGGGTCATCAGTGGTACTCAGTGGGGGATAGGAAAAGTGTGTCCTGTTCAGTTTCCTGGAAGTGGCTTCTACCCGCCCAGGGTGGCAGCTCCTCCTGTGTGCCCTGGGAGCGAGGCCTGGGGACACCTGAACCCTTGGAGAGATGCGGCTCTTGTTTGTAGAGCGAGGCCCAACTCCTGCCTGCTCCCGGAGAACTGAGATGCCTGGGCCGGGGTTCAGGCTCCCCTGTGCCTATACAGAGCCCTTTATCCATCGGCAACTGCAGTTCTGGAAGGATCGAGCCCTCTTCACAGGCCCCAGAATCAACACCACTCGACTTCCGTGCTCCTTCGATAGGGAGTGTTATTGAAATTCTGTTATTTAAATTAATTGTTTCCTGGGAAGCTTCCTTTGAGTCTCGATTGTTTTCCTGTTTCCAGGTAGATGTTAGCATTCAAGCCACGGGAGCAGCGTGTGGATAGCTGTGCTCACTGCTACGCGAATATCACATGTGTGCTCTCCGAGCCTAGGCTGGGCCGGGACCAATCGCAGCCACGAACACAGGGCTTGCAGCTGCGGTGGTTTTAGCTGCTGTAGCCAATGGGACAGACTTGCAATGATTAGGATGTTAGTCCTGGACCAGGTACCGGTGGCCTGGCGGTCCCTGCCGGGCCTCTCCTCTCACTGTTACGCCCTGACGGAGCCCTCAGAGCAGGCTGCCCCCCAGGCGGCGAGGCTAGCTTCCCCAGCAGCTCCCCCTTATTGTGCTGTCAGACTTCAGGGCTAGAATCGCGCCGCTGTTTGAATGTTGCCATTTGTACATTTTTAAAAATGTCAGAGTTGCATTTCAAGCAAGTATTAAAGAGTGCCCGTGAGGGAGCTTGTGTCTCCATAGCATGCTTTCATCCAGCCCGGAACGTGTGATCTCAGCAAGTCTGGGCCTCCTTGCATCGCACACACATACACACAAATGCACTACTCATGCTTACACACACCCCATCCACATGCACACACACGCACACAGCATGGAGCTGTCCAGATCTGAAGGTGGCAATGGTTTTTTGCACAGGGCATAAAAATATCTCTGTAATTACATGATATTTAGTGATGAGGTAATTATGGATAATTGCATGGGGTAGTTGTAAGTGCTAACATGTTACCATAAGATCTAAAATGTACAAATTGCATAATAATTATTCTGGGGCGTTATTTGGTAATTTCGGGCGTAATTACCATGCGATCAGCAGCGTGTGTAATTAATGCACAATCACATGGATTTCGCCTCCATCACCACGTCGCCCTTGTTATAAATAAGCCTTTGTCATGACACTGGAGCACAAACATAATGTAACCGTCCACTGAGCCGCAGGGCGATTGCTTTCCCAGCAACAACGCCCCTCATTTCGTCCCGAGTGCGGGCTCCAACCAGCTGGGGCTGGAGAACAAGCCGCCAGGGGTGGCGGTGAGTGGGCAGCTGTATGCACGGTGAGACCGTGCCACGACTGCACCAGTCTGTGTAGAAAGTGTCAGGGTCGCTGAAGGAGGAACAGACGAGGTGAGGGATTATACATTTATTAGGTCATCTAGCTACCAGATGGGCTGAACCCCCAAATGGTGCCAGCACCCAGGGATGGAGAGTCAGAGGTTTTGAAGGATTCTAGGCAGACTTTTCTGGGCCTACCATTCTCTGGGCAGGTCCGGACCCTGAGAAGGTCCAGAGGGGAAGGATAATGGTCTGAGCAAGTGGAATGTGGGCTCAGTGAAAGGGAATGTCCGTTCGTCCGTCCGTTGTGAAGTGCTAAAGGCCAGCTCCCAGGGGAGGGTGTGGATTCAATGATTTGGTCAGACCTCACAGCAGGTTTGCCTCGCTCACAGAGGGCAGCCCTCCCTTCCCACCGATTGCTCAGCCTGAGTTTCCTCTGGAGCAGAGCGCCTGCTCCCCCGCATCAGTGAGTCACAGGGGTGGGGAGCCTGGCTTACCTGCTGGGGACAGGGCCCCTCATGGCACTGAACAAGGGCTTTGGCTCCACTCCCAAGTTCATATGTGGCTCTGCATCTTCCCCACAGGCTACGCGTGGCAGGATGACTACATGCAGCACATACTGGCCCGGGAGCTGGCACACGTCCCCCGCACCCACCTGCGACGTCCTGATGCTGCCCACCTGGCCAGGTGAGTCGACTTGGTTGATGTCTCTGCGACCCCACAGCCAGCACCTGTCAAGCCTATTTCTCTTTAATGTAGCACGCTCAGTCTTCCTGGTGTAGAGTTTCCTGAAAGTTTGGGTGTCTGTGAGGAAGAGGAGTGCTTCCTTTCTCCACTGTATCAGCCCGTGGAGGAGGGTGTGCAGATGACCCTACTACAAGGAGCCTTTTTTACCGAGGGCAAGGCCAAAGTCCCCCAGCACTGCCCCCAATGCCTGAGACCTTTGGAAAAGTCCCGCATCTCCAGAATGAACCTTGGTTGAGAGCAGAGAAATCAAGGATTCTCATTGTTCAGAAACAAGTAGAGTTCACTTGTACTCAAATGTTATGACCAAGTCTTCCTGTTCTCCAAACACAGCTACTATACTGAGTGGATATTTAACTCCAACCCCATTTCCACCCTCTGCTCACTACCAGGTGATTGTGGAGGTCTCCCCTCATCTGGAGTTGAGCCAAGGGAGGGAGCTGAGATGCAGGGAGGGAGCTGAGATGCGGGGAGGGAGCTGAGATGCAGGGAGGGGGCTGAGATGCAGGGAGGGAGCTGAGATGCAGGGAGGGGGCTGAGATGCAGGGAGGGGGCTGAGATGCAGGGAGGGAGCTGCGATGCAGGGAGGGGGCTGAGATGCAGGGGGGGCTCGGGGGAGGGGGCTGAGATGCAGGGAGGGGGCTGAGATGCAGGGAGGGAGCTGAGATGCAGGGAGGGAGCTGAGATGCAGGGAGGGGGCTGAGATGCAGGGAGGGAGCTGAGATGCAGGGAGGGGGCTGAGATGCAGGGAGGGGGCTGAGATGCAGGGAGGGAGCTGAGATGCAGGGAGGGAGCTGAGATGCAGGGAGGGAGCTGAGATGCAGCAGGGAGCTGAGATGCAGGGAGGGAGCTGAGATGCAGTGGGTTGAGGACTGAGTCCAACGCCGGTCTCAGGGAGGCTTGCTCTCTCCTTGCTGAGCTCGTGTCTGCTCTTTCTGTTGGTGAAAGTGGGCAGGCCCTTCCCTGAAGACTGTGAGGAGCCTGAGTGCTGGAGAGACTCCCCCATACCCACAGCCTCTGCTCGGCAAGCCTGGGAGCGGGAAGGTGGTGCCCCCATCTGACAGGAAGTAGCCCACACCACCCAAGAAGTCGGTTTCCAAGTCCCTCGGGGGTGAGCATGAGACCCATACTGAGTGTGGACGTGCAGGAGTTCTAGGTGTCTGTAAGACTTTTCCATTAAAAAATAAAATAAAACTTAGGCCAAGCTGTCTTGAATGAGTTCAAACTCTTGACAATAATCATTAGTTAGTTAGTTAGTTCTCACCTGAGGATTTTTTTTCCATTGATTTTTTGAGAGTGGAAGGAGGGACTGGGGGACACACACACACACACACACACACACACTTACCCCAATTGGGTGATGGTATCAAACCTGCAATGCAGGTCCATGCCATTGACCAGGAATGAAACCCACCACCCATCGGTAAGGGAACTGATGCTCCAACCACCAAGTGCACTGGCCAGGGCTTGACACTGGTCTGTAAGTTACATTTGGGCATTTAAACGACAACCACTTCTCTTTCCTTCCTCCTGGAGACTAACCTATGCAGCATGAACCATCCCAGAAACCTCCACTCCACCAGGAGGTGGGACGAGGTGCAAGAACAGGGGCTGGGGGGCCGAGAGTCCTGCAGGAGCCACTCAAATGCAGCCAGAAAGGCCACGGGTGTGATGGAAAAGTACGGCCAAGGAGGAAAGGACAGCAGAGGAGGAAAGTACAAGGGGAAAGCACAGCCGAGGAGGAAAGGACAGCCGAGGGGGAAAGTTCAGCCGAGGAGGAAATACAACCGAGGGGGAAAGGACAGCCGGGGAGGAAAGTACAGCTGGAGAGGAGAGTACAGCTGAGGAGGAAAGTACAGCCAACGAGGAAAGTACAACCAAGGGGGAAAGGACAGCTGGGGGAAGAGTACAGCCGAGGAGGAAAGTACAGCCGAGGAGGAAAGGACAGCCGAGGGGGAGAGTACAGCCGAGGAGGAAAGGACA